GCTGACACACACGCGCCTTTTGTCGCTCATAATTCTAAGCGCAGGCAAATTGATTTTGTTTTCGTACTTGATCTCTTTAAAAAAAAAAGTCAAAGTTGCCGACAGCGTCACAAGTGCTGGGATTTAAGGTGTCTGCCACCACGCCTGGCCCCCTCTCCTCAGCAACTCTTGCAGGCATCACCTCCCAATCCCTGCCACAGTGCTGGACATTACCCAGACTGCCCCGCCTGGTATGACACATGCATGTAATCGGAGCACCTGGGAGCTAAGGCAGGAGGATTGAGAGGTCAAGGCCAGAGTGCGGTACATAACGAGACCCCCAACTCAGAAAACAAACACTCTGATTGTTCGTAGGATCCCACTGTTGCTACGGTTGCCTGGTGTATGCCGGAAGAACCTGATGTCCCTGCTGATGTCTGTTCGACCCTTGCTACCTGAAAGCGGCCTCCATTCTGTGCTGCAGCTTGCCCAGCAAGACAAAGCATCTACCTCTGATGCCTGGCTCCATGCCCTCTGGGAGCTATTAAGAAGGGATGTGGGGATTGGAGCCTCTGTGGAAGGAGCCTCTCCGCTGTCGGCAAGCTGTCAGTCACAGCTCCGAGACCTGTGTGGGCAGCTGAGCCAGGGGGGTAGGGGGTTGAAATTGGCTCTGGCTCGAGATCCTGAACAGGAGGACCAGCACTCACAGCTGTGTGGGAAACGCAGGAAGGAGCCAGAGGAAGACCCCGGCAGCCCTGAGTCAGAGAGAGCCTGTAAAAGGTTGCACGGTTTGGAGGAGGAGGAGGAGGGAAAGGACCAGGAAGAGAGACCCAGCCTGGAACCATGGAAGTCCCCGTCGGATGCAGGAGGCATGTCACCCGACCCACAGCAGACTGCTACTGAAGCCAGGCCTCCTGAGACTGGCCCAGGTGTGAAGGAGGCCAAGGGTCCAGCTCAGGTTGTGGAACTGCCCAAAGTTGTCCAGGTACCGTGGCTGGAGGCTGGTTTCAGAATGGTCCTGGATAATGGTGAAAGCTGTTTGAGACACATTTCCCAGCAGGGACCTCTGTATCCATGGAGCAGGGATGAGGGGGTGGGTTATGGAGGATGGAAGGAGGGCAGCCTCCCCTCCCCAAACTGATGGAGATGGGAAGGAGTTACTATGAGCTAGAAACACCTGTCCTAATGACCTAGGGTGTGGGGTTGAAGGATTCGGCCTCTGTTGCTCTACCTGACGGCGTGAGTCATGCTAACATCCAGCCAGCCTGCCTGCCCACACGGGGTCTATGTGCCCCGTTGAGGTTGGATGCAGAAAAGACAAGGCTGGGTTTCACACAAGCCTGCTCTGCACATCTTGTAATATGGAGGTCCCACATTCCTGCTTCTCCTGAATTGCCTTCGCCCATCAAAGGTTTTATTTATTGTGTGTGCCTGCTTGTCTGTGTGTGCACCCGTGTGGTGCACTTGGGAGCCAGAACAGGGCGTAGGGTCTCCCAGACCTAGTTACAGGTGATTGTGAGCCGCCCAGCATGGGTGCTGGGAGCTGAACCCTGGAGGAAAGGGAAGTGTCTAACTGTTGAGCCGCTTTTTTCCCAGCTCTTGCCCAGGTGTTTTCTGCAGAGGGCGCTGGCAGGTCCTGCTGCACTACAGAAATAGTGACTGTTCTCTCCTCCACAGGACCAGGTGCCCCGGCTGCAGCAGCTGCTGAAGACCTTCCAGGAGGTGACCGTCCTTCCTGTTCACTACAGCCTTCTGGCTTCTCTCTGCCCCAGCCGTGCCCAGGGAAGCCCCCATCATGGAGCTAGGAATGGGGCCGAGCAGGAGGGAGATCTGAGGACAGTCACCACAGGGCCAAGTTTGGTTATGCCATCATCCCTTAGGAAGGCCTTCTCTGGTGATGACTTCTAAGAGTGGCCTCCGTGACCTGTCACAGGCATTCTGCCACCCTTACTCAGGATTTGCCTCCCCAGGGTCTGGAGTCTGCGCCCCCAGTGGACCTGCAGTTTCTCCAGGAATGTAGTCCCAGCCAGGTGAGACAAGCCTGGCCCTGAGATCCCCTGTGCACCTGCCTGTTTCCCACCTCCCGTGGAGCTCAGGGTTGCACTTTCTGCCTCTTTACCTGGGCTCCCCTGACTTACCCTTAGCTCTGCCTGCTCTACCCTGCCCCCTCTCCCCTCATGTCCTTGCTCTGCCCGTTCTGTTGCCCACTGGACTTGTATCCTAGCAGAGCTAACTGAGTGCCCTGGTTTCCCCAGATGGAGTTGCTGTGCAGCCAGCTGCAGCTGCCCCAGCTCCCTGATGGAGGCCTCCTGCAGCTCTGCAGCTGCCTGCTGAGTCTCACACCAGCCCTCAGCCTCGGCAGTGCCTGTGTGTTGGCCAGGAGCTTCTTTCTTGACCGGGTGGGTGCAGGTGGCACCAGGAGGCCAGGGGCAGTGGGGACCCTCCGAGTGCTCAGGAAGGGGGCTGGGGAGGAGCTGAGGGGGTGGGCCCCAGGGTGTATATCCTTACAGCATGCAACTGCTTCCCACCTGGGCCCCAGATGGGGCTTTTGGGTTTGGGAGCTAGATACAAACACTTGGCTTTTCCTCGGTAGCATGGGTTGCCATCTGAAACATGTGAGAGAAACTCTTTCCTGAAGGGAAGAAGTGACTTGGTCTTCTCCTGGTGACTAGATCCTCTCACTGTCGTCCTCGGCCTCCAGGCTGCTCAGAGCCGCCCTCACCTCCTTCTGTGTGAAGTACACCTACAGTGTCTGCAAGGCCGTCCTTGTTCCCCTTCTCCAGGACCCAGGCATGGGTAACTGCAGACCCAATCCCAGGCCTACTCTTGTGCCCAGCACACTTAACCCCTTCAGGCCCTGCTGAGTTGGGGTTCAGTGAGTAAAAATGGTAGCTTGTTCCCAGACAGCAGGCATCCTGCCCCTGTCTGCCTTCTCCCACCCTCTGCCAGCCTTCTCCCCTCTCCTGTCTTTAACCCAGGTCCCATGCAGACTGAGGTGCTGTGCTCCCTCATAAAGGATGAGGCCCTGGAGCCAGACATGCAGGTCCAGATTCTGGGGTGAGTGAGCAGGCTTTGATGCTGAGCGCCCCGCCCCCAGGCCAAGCCTGCGTGAGGCCCTGGGTTTCATCCCCAGCACACACACACACACACACACACACACACACACACACACACACACACACACACCACACACA